GTTAAGAACAGTTAATAGTTGAAATAAAGTAAAATAATAATACTAAAAAAAAATATACAAAGCAAGTGATGCATGATGCAACTGCTCAGCACCCACCAACTGATGCCCAGCCCATCCCCAAGCAGCGATCACTGCCCCCCCCAGCCAACTCCCCCCAGTTTATGTACTGAGCATGGCCTCATATGGTCTGGAATAGCCCTTGGGCCACTTGGGGTCAGCTGCCCTGGCTGTGCCCCCTCCCAGCTTCTTGTGCCCCTGGCAGAGCAGGGGAAGCTGAAAAATCCTTGACTGGTGTAAGCCCTGCTCAGCAACAACTAAACCATCAGTGAGTTATCAACATTCTTCTCATACTAAACCCAAACCACAGCGGTATGCCAGCTGCTAGGAAGAAAATTAACTCTATCCCAGCCAAAATCAGAACAGACACCTATGGCTGAATTTGTAAATGTTAATTTAGGAACCCCAATAAGTGGCCACACACTCGGTAGTGAAAATTTTGTTTAACTTCACATCCCTAAAGTTTTGTTTGCTTACGTTCCAACTCTCAAGATAAATCTTTTTGGCCTGTGAAGGGATGGTCTGATTCTAAGAGAGAGAAAGTATTAAGACACACAGTGGAAGAATCTGCCTTGATGGTCAACACTATTTCTCTTAACAGAAACTTGGTACCCTCTTCCAACCGTGGAGTAGATCCATACGTTCGCATATACCTGCTTCCAGATAGAAGATGGGCAAGCAGAAAGAAGACTTCCGTTAAGAAGAAAACTCTGAACCCCCAATATGATGAGAAGTAAGAAAACATTAATTGTGATTGCTGCTGAAATAGTTACAATTGCTGTATAATGAAAGGGCTTACACCAGCTATGCTCCTGTTGCGCGGAAGGATTCTCTCACGTGAACATTTGCAGGTCTTCTGAGAACAATGGCACTTTAGCCGGGGTTTGCTCTGCGCGTGGCGGTGCCTGCCCCGCTGCAGGAGGATGCGCCTCCTTCCCACCCCCTGCCCTGGTCCTGGCAGCAGCCAGGCTGCCATCGCTTCTCTGCGCACAGGCGCTCTCCTACCCCTGTTTAACTCCCTGTCCTTGCAAATCTTTCCTTTTTGGGTACCTTGCAAAGCCTACTTTTCTGTTCATACTTCTTTGCCTGATGCTTATTCTGACATCTTTCCAAAAGTCAAAGGCAGAAGTACAAAGCCTTTCAAGACCGGACCATTCTTTGGACAGACAGATGGATGTTGTCATTGAGACCTGGTGGGCACAGGGTAAAATGCTGCCACCTCTTTGCTGACGGCCGGCACAGCCAGAGCTCTGCCCCTGACACAGGATGTGTTTTGTGTAAAACCAAGCGCAGTAATGCTTAGGCATGGAGCTCTTTTGAGAGGTGGTTTTAACCCCATATTTAGAGGAAGGTGCACACGTATGAAGATATGTGAATATGGGGTGATCCTGGGTGACTTGGTTTTTTTCCTACGTTGGGTCCTTTCTGTATAGGTTGGTATAGGTCAGAAAGGGAGAAAAGATTTTAAAATATTTCATCTTAACACTCAAAACACTGGAATTGGGGATTTCACTTCTGCCTATTCTCTGGTAACTCCACTGATTCAGTGCCAGCACAGCTGTTAGGAACAGCATCTCTTTTTCCTCATCCTCAGTAGCAACGTGTCCCGTACATCCTCAATTAAATTTAATAGGTTGGGCAATACTTAGCTCCAAAACACATTACCTGCTTTACAACTCTGACTTGAGGAAAAACTATTCAGGTGGGCAGAACTTAAGTGATTTAGCGCGGACAAAACTCACTTGACATTAGATGGTGTGTGCCAGAGGCATGAGTCAGACCCATTAAGAATTTAATTGCCACAGGTTTCAACCTTCGTCTTCTCTTAACCGTGTTACAAGCCTACTCTAAACTTGGCGGGTTGGCTCAGCTATTTCCTCTGAGTAATAGAGGTTGCATGGGGAACACGCTGATCTTCCATGAAGGAGGAAAATGATGGTAAACAGTGTTTCATCAGGGATATGTGCTCTCCTCCTTCCCCCAGCACGGTGAACACTCTGAACAACACTGTTGTAGTCTTTCGTGAGGCCTGGCAGAGATTTCGTACCACGTGAATAAAATCTAACTGCAGAATTGCCTTTTCTGGGTCTTCCTTCTCTGTTACAGTTCTGGCCACCGATGTTGCGTTCTGGCCACTGATGCTTATGGGATTTTTATTTTTGACTTAAGTCTCTCCTTTCAAAACTTTACTTTTAGGTTTGAATTTTTTGAATCTTTGGAAGATGTCAAGAAGAGGACACTGGACGTTGCAGTGAAGAACAGCAGGCCATTCATTTCACAGGAAAGGAGGGAGCTGGGGAAAGTAAGTAATTTAAAGAAGTCACACTACTGATTTAATAGAGCTGAATGGTCTGAGCAATTCCCGTAGCCCTGAAATGCGGTTCCACTAAGTTAGTCTCAGTAATAGGACTAGCAGTCTGGAAACAAGTTTTTGTGTCGAATTTCCCATCTGAAATCAGGCTGTATCCATGCGGAAGCTTGTTGGGGTCTCATGCGATTGATGTGCTGTGCCACTTCATTTCCGAAGGGCGCTCCCGAAATAAATACATTTCCTGGAATCCTCTGCTGCCCATTTGGGGAATGGCTCCAGTAGTGCAAACATGAAGCTGAGAAAGACGTGTGATTAAACCCCAGAATTTGCCAACAGTGCTTTAAGCTTTCTGTGACCAACTTTGATTCTGTGAAAAGTAAACTGGAATCGCTTCCTCAGTGACAGAGGAGTTTCCAGGCAGTGCTGCTGAGAAGCTGAGCTGAGGTGCGGAGGCTGGTGAAAGCCTGGGAACACAGGAAGCTCGTCTTCCCTTGAGCCTGAGCTGCAGCCCTAGAACTTGAAAGTGGGTCTGGCCTGGGAGGAATGCTAGCTTAGCAAATCAATTTGTACGCTGAATAATATACAAAGAAATAAAATTTGCTTTTTGAAGGTGCAGATTGACTTGTCACAGGAGGACTTAATTAAAGGGTTTGCACAATGGTAAGTTTTCATCCCTATGCTTTCGAAGCCTGCTAATTGCTTTGCTGGGAGTTTGCATGACTGCTCTTGGAGCGCTGGTAAATGGGCTGTGTGTCTTGGTGAGCAAGAATATTTGCCCTGCAAAACGCAGGACTAGCTTGAACTAATCTGGTAGTTTTATCTAAGTTGTATGTTAATCCAGTTGCTAGTGCAATACCTGCCCTGTGAGGTAAGAGGCCTATATGTCAATTATAGTCTTCAGCACATTTTAAGTTACCATAAAAGCCACTGGGACACATAAGTAAAAGAACTATGTTTATTAAAGCAACCTTGCAACAAATTTTAACCTGGATAAAGATCTTAACTAAATTAATACTCTGATCAGCTATATATATATATGATAAAACTTTAATTACAAAGCATTTATAGAAATTATTATAATAAGTCACTTACAGTTTTGCTTGTATGTTCATTGTGGTTCGGACTTAAGCATTGGTCTGAGGCAAAGATTAAGAACCAGGGCTTTTTCTCTTCCTTCTACGTCAGTAGTTAAGGGCAGTAGTTCTTCCTCCTTTCTCCTTCAGTGGAGCCCAAGGAATGCAGTGTGGGTAGTCCATGAGCTTGCCACCCACACAGGCAGTGAGCCAGTGCTGGCCACCAGGCTAGGGGAACAAAATTCCCCTGGCCCATCTCGCGTCTGTCTCTCCCGTCAGGATATGGCAATTATGGGAGTGGGAGAAAAGTGACGCCTCCCAAGCCCCTGGTAAAGAGCTGAAGCTCGAGGCCATCTCTGAAGCCTCCTTTGCTGTGCTGCCTATGAAGCACAAGCAATAAAGCAGCCCAGTGCCAGTTAAAACTTTTAAGAGAGTCTTGAACTACTGTAACTTCTTACTGTGTCTGTCCTGCAGGTATGAGCTGACAAGGAGTCGACGCAAGAAAAATTGATTTCTTCTCATGTACATGAGTTACTAATTTTTCAGCTTTATATGAATGTACATATCTCTTTTGTAATTAATGCATTTTGAACAGTCACTGCAAATTTGAAGCGGTCTCTAGCTCAGGACACGTAAATCTAGTGATCCTACTTGGAGATTAGTTCTCACTGAAGTAAAAAAACCCACATTGGATGTACTCTGTCCCTAAATACTAAGTCCTTTATTTTTGCTGTTTCTGGCATACCTACCCCAAAGAACCCTTGAGTACTCTCTTAAGGAAGTGTTGTACCTGGAGCTATTTTAGACTGCCAGTGAAGTGCCAGTGCTTTGCTTGGCAGTCTCATTTCCCCAGGATCCTATTCATGTTGTTCTAACATGAAAGCATTGTGCTTTTTCAAAAATTTCCTCTTTTAAACAGCATTCTCCAGCTGTAGGGCTACAGAACCTGTTGAGAGAAACTGTTTAAGACTCCAATAGAAATTGTTTTTTGAGAAACTAAGCAATTCATATTCCGCTGTTCAAAAGTATCTTAGCAGATTGTGGCTGCAGGTATGTATATAATGAGCTTCCAAAGGCAGGGAGGTTAGTTTACCACACCGTCATTAAGGTTTTAGTTAGCAATGCCTTAACGTGTTTTGTTCTTTGTTACAGTACATTTCACAATCTTGTAAACCTTGACAGTAAAGCATTCTGCCTGAGGAACAGCAGAGTTTTGTAAATTAAGCTTTATTAATATCAGAGCAAAATATAGCAAAATATTTTTGGAAGCTTGCTATACTTGTTTCTGTACAATAAAATTCTAACTGTCTTGCATAAGAAACGTCATCATTGCCTTTCTAAAACTGACTTTTGAAATATGACCATGGTAACTTCAAATCTGTGCCAGGCCAAATCCCATAAACCACCACCTGAAGCAAGTTTCAAATAGTTTTGACCTAGATTACATGAATCAAGTCTGCCTCAGTCCATAACCGGAAAGAATACTCACTGAGTAACAACTTGCTCACATCCCAAACTTGTCTGGAGGTGTAACCAGCATTTTAAAATAGGTTCTCCAGAAAGCCAAGCGAGGCAACTGATAGAAGTGTTATGGCTGAGGCCATTAGAGCACCTTTATCTCCTACTTACTGTGTCAGCAACATTCACAATGCGCCGTGGTTACAGGAAGTCTGGCTTTGTGCTGGGTTCAGTTTCCTAGCCTGGTCCAGAGCGTATTGGTTGTCTCTGGCATCGAGTAGACCGGGTGATAGCTGTTACAGTAAGCTTTTCTTAAATTGACCATGAAACAAGAATTATGAAAAATGGAAAAAAATGCACCAGCTTTTATTTATGTCAAAAAAACTTGAAACTGTTGACTAGGGTAACAGAGGTTGGAGGTAGCTGTAATGTCTTACTCATCAACGGGTGCGTTCACAGGTAAGGTAAATCTTGCTCACTCTTAGCTAGCTACCAACTTCAGGTTTCGCACAGTAGGTAAAATATCATCCAGGTTACTGATCTCTGAAACAGAAGGAAAAGCAAAAGGGTAAGGCGTACATACCTAGAACATCTTCAAGTTCAGCCAAAATTCTAACTTAAACGTCAGAAATAGAGCTCGTGAATAAAATAAACTCCTCACACCTTTTAATGCTTTTGGAAAAAACTCAATTTAGCTTATCTTATAAGTAATGATTGAATATGCACAGCTCCACGTTCAATGCAAACAACGTATTTTGGTCACTTCTTGAGGAAAGATGGAAAGAGGAGGAGAGTAAGGTGAAAGTTTGCACCTTCCCTCACATCTTCCTTGTGTTTTAGCACACCAGGAGTAAGCAAAACACGTGTTAGCTATTTAAAGGTTGGGGAGGAAGCATTGACATGGAGATAATTACAACTGTTGCAAATATTACTCACCTAGAAGACAGAGCAAATCTTGAATGAGAGCTTGAAATGGTGGAAAGAAGCACTCGTGTTCTTCTAGCTTAGTGATTATGCTGAAATGTGCAAGTGAGACTGTCAGATGGCAGGGGCACTTGAAGTTCATTTCCTTGGCTGTTTTGCTGTGCTATGTCATGACTTTCTGAAAACACCACTACTTAGTAGTATAAAGAACCATCTCACCAAAAATGTGTTCTCAAGTTCTGAAACCTGCAGCCAACAAGCGTTAGCTGTCAAAGGAGGGTCTCTAATTTCGCTTTTTATGCCCTTTATACATCCTTCCTTTCCTCCCTATGTGGCCCCCCAGGTAATTTTTGGACTGGAACATTAGTCTATGTATGCTAAATATACTGCTTGGGGGTGGCTGATATAAGCGCCTCAAGAGCTGGAGGAAGGAATGGTTTATAAGCAGCTCTTCTCTAGCTAAAACTGTGAGGAGCACAGAAAGGTTGAGGGAGTTAAGTGTTGTTAATGCAGTATGTGTCTGCCTCGCTGCAATTAATTTTTAGTATGTTGGCAGAGGCCATGCTGAATGCAAGCTCTTACAGTCTGCTACCACATATATGGATGTTGTTATCTGTCAAAGACAGAACAAGATTTGTGCAGTTCCCCAACCATTTGTAGGCAGCTCGAGGCATACGTTCTCTTAGCAACTAATGCTCTTCAGTTGCAACCTTGCAACACTTTCTCCTCCCCACCCACGCGCAGTATCTATTTGCTTTGTCTCCTTGTGAAACACACATCCTATAGGCTTATTTGATCACCTTATCCATGCAAACCAACAAGGTGGTTTGGAACCTTCTGGTTTTAATTTTTTTCTTCGCCAGTTTTATGCTTTTGAAAGTATTCAAGATTTGTTTCACATAGGACAGCGGTGACTCCTTGCCTGTCACGACTCGCTGACTTTGTAACACATTATTACAAGTTTCTTTCCGTATCGGTTTTAGCCATTTTCTCAATTAGTAAGTTTCATCTTTGAAGAACGGTCATCAGTAGAACAGCCCCACATACCTGTGGATGTCTTGGGTCCCCAGAAGCCGCTGTACCTGCTCAGTCACATTCTCATTAATTATGTCACACAGTTTCCCAACAGTATCCACTACCACAGTGGGTGGAGCTGAACTGTCTGTGGAAAAACAAACACTTTATGTTTCTTACAACAGAAAGTGGTTTAGATACAATATAATTCTTGCAGGTGACCAGATTTTATTCTGTTTTCACACATCTAGGCATACAAATGCCACCATTCACAGAAAACAAAGTGCCTATAGTCAGAAATTAACTCATGTTAGCTAGGAATAGTGAGTCTCTCACTAATCCTTTAATGACTACAAAACTTGTCAGAGCTGCCTATTTTCACAGCAGAGATGGTACTAAAGTGCATCCTACTTCCTACTGCCAGAGGAAATCAGCCAGATGAAATTAGATAGAGAGGGTTATTCATGAGGTTCCTGTAACACAGCAGAAGCACGGTATAGGGGCTAGGTCAACAAGGAACCTGCTCAATTAGTACTTTGTGAACAGCCAGAACTTGTTTTGGTATTGGATTTTACCTGCTTTGGCTGCTATAATTGAAGGTAACAGGCTCCTTGTCCTTTTCTAGAAGAACTAGGTTTGGGGAAGGGATCCTTTGAGCTCCACTCGTTTGCAATTACTAGGGAGACATGAGGCCACCTCATCTCCTGTGCCAGCTGCAGGCAGGAGGACCGCGTCCCTCCTTGAATGCGGCTCAGAAGACCTTGGTAGCCCAGGAGCCCCGCTCTCGGGCTGTACGCCCAGCAGCGCAGCCAAGCCTTTACACCCCAGAGCAGCAGCTGCTGTTTTCCAGAAGCACAAACCAGAAAAGAAGGGGGACTGGGAAGTAACGAAGTATGCCTCTCAGTTTTTGACAGTCAGCAGCTTCTTGGTTTATGTTTAGCAGCGTAAGAAGCAAGTCCCTGAGGACCGGACATCATCAGACTTGAGTGAATTACTGAGTAGAAATCTACAGCAAGGGTCAAGTTATTTTTTCTTAAACTTGGGCAAGAATAATTATGAAGTCAGCTCACGGGAAACAAAGCTTTGTGGGGAAAAAAAAAAGTAAAAATTCAATTTCATCTGTTATTCCTTTCTTCTGCCTCCCTGGTATTCCTCAGCAACTGCTAGAGGCTTACAAATAACAGCGTTTTGCTATTGAAACTCCCAGTTGCCAGCAACCTATTTTTATCTTCGCAGCGAAGAATACACTTAGTTTACTCATTTCTCAGCAGCTCAACAGATTTTCTATGAAGAGATCAGCCTTTCAGTTGTCATCTTCTTCCTTTGGTCTGAACAACTGCCGGGTGGTAAGCCTTTACCTAGTTCCAGGAGCTCATGGAGATTCCTCATAGCGTTGGTCATTTCCCCAAGCTTTGTGTAAACCTCATTCATTCGTGGATAAACGCCATTCAGAGAATTCACGTCAAAGAGCTTCTGGAAGTGAGAGACTATTGCAAACAGGGTTGGTAAGGATGGTGTCTGGCTGTTCTGTAGCAAGCAGAAAGAACAGCTCATCAGCGTTATTGCTTAACAAAGCAAGGGTTCTTTTAAACCGTGAAACATCCTTAAAACAAGTCTATGAAGAAAACCAGGTGTAACTTCCCTTACTGAATCACAGCCCTTCAAATATTCTTAAATCTGAAGACATATTTCAAAGAGAGTTTTCAGACACAAGTATTCAGCAAACCAAAAATAATCTCTGGAAAGCTTTCTCCTCTGTTGCTTAGTAAGTATGTTCATGTCTTCTTAACGCTGACTGAGAAACAGACAGAGCAGGATAATACCCAAGACCACAGGGCAATACAAATTCATCATTGGTCAAATGACCTGGATTAAAGCAGCCTTCCCCAAGGTGAATTTATGCATTATGTTAAAATAGTCTTTGACTATTGAATACCTTCAAACAGCTATTTCTTAAACCCTGCAAGGCTTTCAAACGCACAAATCTAATCACTGTGTGAAGAATGCATTTAAGAATTCCACAGGAACTTGTGATTATAAACCCCTGGCAAGAATTACCTTTTCCTTATTTTCTATTTCTTCCAAAATTGCATCTACGATGAACTGGAGGTCTTCAACTCTTATGGCTTCTCTGTTATCCTGGGGATCTGCAGCGTGCCAGGGCACCAATTCCAGAGACAGTTTTCTCAAGGACCTATGCAAGTCCTTTTAAAAGAAGGGAGGGGACACAACTTGGTTTAGTAATTTCTTAAAGTTGTTTTTATTACAGAAACAGGCAGGTTTTCTCTTTCTCATATGCAAAAACATTCCAGTACTGGGGACAGTAAGATTTTAGTTTTCATGGAATTTAAGCACAGTATCTTGCTTACATTCTTTTGATTATAAAGAACACTGATAGTCTAAAAATTTACGTACTTCATCTGTTAATAGTTTCAGTGAAATAAGAAGTGTTGCTCACAGAGAGTTTGGTTTTAAACACAATTATTTCACTTGTATTTAGATCAAAAAGTTACTGCTCTGTCGAGACAAAAGGAAGAAAGAGAACACATCGTCGTTAATGTGTGAAGTACGCAGACTCTAAAGCTTAACTGGCTTCTTAGGGACTCAGCCAGTGAGGAAGAGCATTTAGACGATAGACACAGAGGAATCTCTCTGGCCTGTAGGCAACTGCACGTTTTTCACTTTACGATGGTTTTAAAGTGGCATATAAATAGACAGCAGAATTATTTTTAAAATTTAACATCAAGTCAGGCAATAACGAAAGATACATACAGAAAAAAGCCCCTACACGTAGGGAGAGACTGAGGGGTGGTCAGCAGATTAAAGGAGGAATGCAAAGCCAAGTACAATAACGCGTTACCTTTAGGGCCATAAGCTGATCTGCCCACATCTCTATAGTAAGCGGAAGGTGCTCAAATCCACATTCCTGCCCATTCTCTTTAACGCAATTTTGCACTGGCCCTTTACTGCGCCTGTATATTAATGGAGGAGCTCTTGGACTTTGCAAAGTAGAATCAATATGGGACAAAACCTTCAACATCAGATAACAAATGTTATTGCTCAAATATGTATGACATTTTATAATAAAATCACAGTCATGACCATCTAAACATTAAATCATAAATAGCTCCAAGAAGTAACTATCAATTCATTTTACAGCTGTGTTCAGTATGTAATAGATTCAAAGATTTAAAAATATACTGGCTAGAAGATATGCAAAAGTAATGCAAGTATACTTCCCTTTGAGGGATATTTAACATTTATCCACTTGAGGCATTGTTACTTCCACAGTTTACATTTTGCTAAGTTTTATTATTTTTTTTTTTTTTTCATTCAAAGAAAAACAAAAGCCACTATCTCCTCAGGCATGTTTAAAACCGTAACATAAGGATCTGTTTTGCCTGAGACCTTAAAGAAATTCCCTGTCCTGAAAAGACTTCAGCTAAATCATTGCTCGGACGTTTGCCACCCTAGTCTTTGCTGCCTTGCTGTATTTTCAGGTAGTTTACACTAAGATCAAATAATGAAGAACAAGCCTACATTAACAGCCAAATCCAGAACATTATGCATCTTGTGTAGAGGACTTCATATGAACTCCTAGATTCAAAATAACACATTTACATAGTTAAAAAAAAATTATATTTTATATTGCATTGTAGCAGTGCTAGATACACACAGTACGGATGAAATTTGCATACCCGTAAGTATTGCTGGCAAACTGCCTGCAGCTGATCTACTCCTGGGATACTCTCAGGTTCTTTCTTTTCTTCTGTTCTTTCTCTGGTACTACTCCCCAAAGAGCTACACACCAAAGACATACAGGGGGTCACACAAGCAGCCTTAGCAGGAGGATATGACTTTCAACTTGATTAGAGACCCAGGGATGCAGCACATATGCTTACACCTACCAAGTAAAGTTTTATGATGCCCGCCAATAGAATTCCACTAGACTGAAGAATGTAATACCTAGTATAAATATCAATAATTTATCTCAAGCCTCCAGGTTGAGGTTATTCCAGACTGCATGCTAATTTAGAAGGGACACCACCAGATGTACAGCTGTTCTATTACCAGAGGTTCTACTACATCTGGAAATCCAGAATTTTACTCAAAAGGGTCAAATTCCATGCTCTCAGTCTTTATCTGCTTCTGCTTGAACATCTTTCCTGGCTTATGATATATAGCCCCTTACTCTTCTTGTCAAATCCAAGATGACTTTTTTAAAAACTACCATCTAAATCATACCCACTGCATGAGAGAAAAAGCTCTTTAAATATACACGATGTAAAATGAAGAACTGAACATTTCTAAAGTTTAAGTGAGGTCTTTTTCAGGCTATAAAATATTTAGCATTCAGTATACACGTGCACAAACAATTAAGTGAAATTACAGATAAAAACACTTTGTCAATACTGGATCTCTGATGCCTTCAATGTATTTTCTTAGCCATGTTTCAGAAAAAAACTTAAGTCAAATTCTAAGAGTAACACGGACATAACTTCAGTAGGTGCAACCTTTTGCCAACTCATACTTTCTCATTCATAATCTGTAATGTAACCAGTAACTTTCCTTAGAGCCCACAGAAGCAACACCACAGTTTGCTCCTGTCCATGTTGCCTGCGATAGCACTCAAATCAAATCCAGAAAGACAACATGAAATAAGAGATGCACTACTGTGCCCCCATTTGGAGACCATGCCATCATTTCAGAGATTCACGGGGTGTCTTAGGAGACACAGCAGCGTTTGCTGCCCATAATCAGGCTCCAAGGACCAGTGATAAGGTACCTGCTTTATAAGGTGCTGTCTACCTTACAGGTTACAGAGTGTCTTTGCCTTGAGAAGTCCAGAGGACTCATGAAAGTTACTGAAGAAATATACTCACTGGGTAGTTTTCTTTAACATTTTCTCTAGTTTCTTCACTTGGTGCTTGTAAAGTTTTAATTCCTGTGCAGTTGGTCTGTTAGAAAGAAAAAGAACCATATTCTATGTCTTGCATTTGAAGGTTTCTATAAAACTCAGCCAAGCAAAAAAGTAAGAAAGCTTTGCCAGTGCCGCAACATCATTCTGGAAATGGAATTCTGCAACATTTTTACGTGGCAACAATAAGAAACAGCAAAATAACCATTAGCAGTTGTTATTAACAGCCTAGGGGGGAAGGTTGACTGTTGCTGCCGTATCTTACTTCTGTGCATGACTTTTAAAGGCAGATTTCATACTATACTTTTACAATTGCTGGTGCTTTCAGTTTCTCTGTAAAGGAAAGGCTACCGAAGCACCCTTACAAAGAATGATACTTATCCTTTCTCACCTTATTTCCAAATCTTTCTTAAGATTTGTATTTTCAAGCAAAAGCTGTTCATTCCTGGCTTTTGTTTCAACAAGTTGTTTCTGGAAAGACTGCAACATAGACCATGTCATTTCATGTATTTCGATCATTCCATAATCAACAAGCTTGAAGACTTTAAAGTACGTATGTGTTAAGAAGGGTTCCCATCTGCCTACACAGCAAGACAGCATGGATGAGGAACTGGTCGACTCAGATCAAAAGCCTGCTGTGTTAGACGGCAGGTGGAGAACCCATGATTAAGGAGGTCTATTCAGTCGCCGGCAAAGGCGACTCACAACATAGTACCGAGTCTTTGCGTCAAGACAGCAAACCCTGCCCAGAGAGGTTACAAATTAAGAAGACGTGATAAGAACAAGGGGATAGAAATCAAACACGTGTATGTTTCCACATGGCTCTTGAGGGGTTACCATTCAGAGAGCTGCACTGACTTGTTCTTAGCAGTTCCGTACCGTGAGCAGTGCTCTATAATGAGGAGTAGCATCTAGATACAAGAATTCTTCCTTGCTTTTTACTTCTCTCTGTACCTGGTCTTCATCTTTTTTATATTGCCTATTGGGAAAAATAAATTGTTTCAATTTACTGTAATTCGATTACCTCAAAGATCTAAGTTGGCTTAGTTAGCAGTTATGTACGATAATAGTGTTTCCATAAACTGCAAAGTAAACAGAATGGAAATTCTGCCCTAAGATCCGCTGCTCTTCTCTATTGTTTCTGGGAAGCTGTTCCATGTACTAATTAAGTGCATTTATTCCTCCAGAGAAATTCCAGTACAAGCAAATCCCATTTCAGTTTTCAAGATAATCATCTCAAATGATAGGAATGTCTCCGGTATCTGCTTGTTGGTTTGTGCCATGTAGGCACCGTGATAGAGCTAAAAAGCTGGTATTCCTTTTGTTTAGGGAGATCAGTTGACTGAGCACTGCTAATGCAGTAATTCTCTGCCTGTGAACCATGGCAAAAAGGGAAGGGAAGAAAAAAAGAAAAAGAAAAAAGACTTATAGCTCAAGTGTCTAAATACCCCCAACTTTAATACCTAATCCAAACTTCCACACCATTACAATCCTCTGTTGTTTCTTACGTGCTAGTGACATCTGGAACACAGAATATTTACCATTACAAGCTTCAAGAACAGTAAGAAATAAAAAAAAATTTGGACAGTAGGGCCATAATGCATTAGATAAGACCTACCTTAGCTCCTTTTTCATTTGACTAATTTGAGATTCATAATAATTAATTAGACAAAGGAACCTGAAGAAAGGAAAAATGTTTTGAATTTCAGATACTCAAAAAAAAATTATGCCTGAAAGACACTGTGACCACCCCGTAGGAAGCGGCTGGCTTATAGAACTGCACCGCACTTCAGGAGTGGCTGCATCGAATAGCGGGTTCTCTCTCATAGCAAACATGCACGGTCACAGTTCTCCAAGACAGAAAAGTAGAGACATTGACTCTGTACTAGACCAGAATTGGCAAAATTATTCAAGAGGAGACAAAAGCTAAATCCTCCTGACAGCCTCCTCATCTTGTGGCCATGTTTACCCAGCAATCCTGACAGCGCGGCACAGTCCCCAGCGCTGGGGCTCAGCGACCATGGTGGGAGGTAGAGAGCACAGGTCCCACATAGCCTGAGGACATCTGTCTCCACAGAAACAAAAAGTGCTTTCAGAGTAAGGGGTTGCAAAAAATAAAGCCACAAAAAAACTGAACAGCTGAGAAACTGCCTTTCCTCTTGAGCACTCTGAGATTGTCTGTTTTGGAGAGACAGATGAGAAAGGCCAGGGAACCAAATTCAGTGACCCCCCCTTCTCGTACAGCGAGGGCACAAGAAAAGGGCTGCGCACACAAAATTCCTTTTAAATGCTTCCCAGGTAAAGGTTACCAGACAGGCCTGGAAAACCAGGTGACATCAGCACAATGAAGTGATGGTTACCTGAGGCCTAGGAATGGGCAAATCTCCGATTATAGCAGAACTATGGAGACCTTACTGCAAGAGACATAGGCTTGGAATGCTTTCTCAGAGCTGTCACTGAAGTACCTGGGAAGACTTACAGCAAGCCCGCAGCCACCAGTTGCAAAGACCAGTTGCGCTTCAGAAGTGACTGCAAACTGGATAGGGGTTTTTTTTGGGGGGTGGTGGTGTTTGTTGTTTAGAGCCCCAGGATGAGATCACCCTAGCAGATACTGCAGTTCCTGAGTACAGTGAATCATTCCCTTCTCTTTGCTGACACCTAGTGTATACAGGGGCTGATAATTTTTTACTTCCTGCTGTAGATTTATCCAGCTTGCATTTATTATACAAGAAAAAATTACTGCATTGATGCACCTTTACAAGAATTCGTATTTCAGCTTGCACTCCTAAGGCCTCCAGTGGTTTTTTTTTTTTTCATGTAAATATAGAGAACAGTTAGTTACTTTAAAATCCATTTCTTCATTTAATGATACAGCTCATTCACCAATGTAAGAAAATTGCTTACTGCTGATCTAGAAGAGACTTGGGAGCTCTTTTGCAAAACCGACAAAACATTTTATTTTGAGCGACAGCGCGCCGTTGCTCCTCCATCCCAACTTTGCACAGCTCCTTCTGCAAACGGGCAATAATCTCTTCCTGTTCTTGCAGCTTTTCCTGCTGCTGTTGGTATTTTGCCTGTCAAGAGATAATGGGAGCATTATGAAATTATGCTAACCCACAAGCTGGAGATGGTACTGTACATGCCCAAGTAGGCACCTGGTCCCAAGGAAGCCTCGTACTCGGTTTTTAGCTGTACTGAAGAGGTAGTGGAAGGAGGATACGGATATTTTTCTAAGTTATTGACAGAAAATTCTGTATGGATTGAAAAATCCTAGCTATAAATACTGTACTAACTGTATGGCTCATGTTTATCTTGATCAATGTAAATATTTGTATGAGCTTTTAAAACAAGTCAAAAGTTTGAGTCCTCAGACAGCACTATCCGAATTACCTGTGAAGCCTGTTGATCTTTTTGAAGTTCTTTGACTTGATTCTGTTGCTGGCAAACTTTAGCTATTGTCTCATCCTCCAGCTGACAGATTTTGGACTTAATGTTTTTCACCACATTTTCCAAATCATTAGCCCGTTGTTCTTGTCGAGATGCCCGACCTCGTTCCTGTCTTACCTCATCCCTGAAAAAGAAATAAATCCTTGATTTAAATGAAACGCATTTCACTGAAGACAGTGAAGGAAGCACAGGCCTGGAAAACATTATCTGGTAACACTCAGTAATAGCCTGTGGCAGCAGGTACGGGAAATACGCTGGTAGGAGAAGCAGCAGCAGATGAAATAGCATCAGATCTCAAAAGGAACTAGGCCAATGTGGCTGCAAATTGGACAAAAATCTCAGGAAAAGGGTCTTAGGCCTCGGGTGTGACAAGAGCTCCACCTGGCAGTAGATGGACACCGATAATACTTTTGCTTTGCATTAGCAGGTCAGTTCCTTCCCACTGCGTCTTACCTAAGATAACGATTAGCCTCCATAAGCCCCTGCATCATTTTCTGCTGTCGGTCGGTGTCTTCCACCAGCGTTTTTAATGCAAGTCTTATTCCTAGAGAAGACTGACTGTCTAAGACAATCATATCTGGAGATACATAAAATAAGCAAAGTCATAATGAAGGGCTTTTAATAGCTGAAGAAGATCACATCTCTGCTACGATTTGGAAGCGATGCCTTTAGAGATGCCTTATGAACTTAGGCTCACTATTTCCAAATACAAAAACTGGTAAAATGAGCATTTCCTTACCTGATATATTTCTGCAGCTTTGGGGGGCAGCAAGACTCACCGGTTTCAACCCATGACGCATTAACAGTTTGTTTAAGTTCTCCCATTCTGCCTTCTCCTGCTGCAGGTGGGAGAAGGGGAAGAAGAGACAGAAACCCGAGTTCTCAAGATCAGCTCACGGTCTCCTGACCTTCCTGCTGTGCAGGCAGCGGGGGATACCAAATGCCCCCAAATAAAAACAAACCCCAAACCCTCAAGAAGCCCCAGCTACCAAAGGAGGGCTTGTGCGACTTTCCAATAGGATCTGCAAAAAATATTGGGGGAAAGCGTACTTAAGGATATACAGAACACCCAGTTTTCCCGATCACTGTTAGAAATCTGTGCAATGAGTAAACTTTACTTTTTAAAAAAAAACAGACAACCAACCCTCGGCCGGGTGACCCTCGGGTGGGCCCCGACTCCCCGCCCCAGCCCCGGGAGGAGCCCTCAGAGGCGGCGGGGGCCTGCCTTGGGGGGTGG